TTTTTACTGCAGATAAATCGCGGTAGTTAATCAATTATTAACTCAAATGAAAACCCCTGATTTAAAAATCCAAGTTAATTAGATAGCGATCACGTGACCCTGTGACGTCAAAGGCGACAATGGCTGATCAGCTCCACGTTAATCTTACGAAAATATACGCGATACAACCTGAATTTTCTGCGTTGTGGATGACCAAATCGCTTATTTTATCGATATGAAATTGAATATCCAACCTTATATGTTAGAATTGCAGCAAGAAAAATCTGTTTACATTGTATTTAAATAGCATCGACGATAGCGAGGGAGACGCGGCGAAGACGAAGAAACTCGCCATCAGAATACGATTTGATTTGTCATCTTATCACACGTATTTACTTATTTGATTCACAAATTTAACACTATATAACTTTGTTGTTCTTTATTTTTAACATAATATTAATTTATGCAAGTCTTCATATGTTTTTTTAAAGGATGGCGATCTTGAAAAATAATTTCCCGATCACGAAACATTGCCGTATTCAAAGCTACAGTTTCTAAATGTTTGGAATAAAAAACGAAAATTTCTCAGAAGCCTTATACCATAGAACTAGTTAATGTTTCTATAGTAATTGAGAGGCACGTTAGGCATTAATTTTTTCAGCATTTTTCGTAATTAAGCTGCATTTGTTGTTGATAACTCCGTAATTAGTGTGCATATTCTCATCTCTCTATCACTGAATTGTCGCCTATGACGTCAGAGCAGTATTTCGCCGAAATCCGACTGAAATATGCATATTGCCATATTTGAATTTCAACTCCTAATATCTCTTAAAATATGCTTTCAACAACGTTTATTCTATTCAGTATTTTAATAAACAAGGTTGTAGATAATATTTTTCATAAAATTACGATTTTTGAAAGATCATGCGATAAGTCCTTTAACACTATAGCCTACCATCGATATAGGTGTACATGCCCGTTTAACTAGATTTTAATTGGAAACGTTGTAAACCTATTACAATTCTCATGCGTAATAGTAAAAGATTACGTGTGTATTAAGGAGAGGGAGGGGAGGAGGTGGTCACCTGTACGTACCGCTGTACAGGTGTTCTGTGTCACGATTTACGTGTTACGCTTTCCAACACCTCGGACGACTTACCTGTAGCGTTAACGTCACAAGTCAGGTAACACAGGTGTATAAATATCAGACTCAGGAAAATAATCCCGCTTCCTCGGCTGCTCACCATTCTTCGTAAACTTGAGGAACTTTCATCTTTTTTTTCAGTTTTTGTATTCATACCCCAACTTCCAAAGATTCTGTGTGTTTTTTTTCTTTTAAACAAGAAGGACTCATCATAAAACATCAAACAGCATAGTTTTTTAAGAGTAATTTTATATTTTGTGATCATATTAACTCTCAGGTTGCTAAAATGCATCAGTGATTTGTCGAGAACTATTTTCTTTCGCGGAAGTTTTGTTTACTCAGCATCCCGATACAAACAATGCTCGATGCAGGCACCTCCTTCTCTCTCTCCCTCTCTCTCATAACATCGGGAAGTTTCTAGTATGCCGGTCCTCAGAATCACGCGATTGCGCATAACATCTCAAAATAGGTTTAAAAATCAACAGCATGCCAGTCGAGTATATTCTGTATATTCATAAGTATTTGCCAAGAAATATTTAAAGGAACATTATATGCAATTCATAATGACGCAGAGAGAGAAGAGGGGTGGGGGTGGGGAGGGAGAGAGATCGAGGCATTGTTTTTTATTTGCAGCGGGACGGGTTTGGAGGACTCACGTACAATATATATCCACTTTAACAGTTTAAGAACCATATAGACACTGTGATGTATAACCATTTAAAAAACCTAAATCCGTTTCCGTGATAGTGCATTTTTTCTCAATTAAACAATATTTATAGCGTTTTCAACAGTTTGAAGAAAATTATATCTATAATGAAAAAAAAATCAACCAATCAATAATATTATATTGTTCTCAGGTACGTTTGTTGGTTGGTTAATTTATTTTTCTCATACCAGACAAATCATGGTACATGAGGTACATATATACATACGAAAAAGAAAGTCTAATACAGTAATAATTAATGAAGAACTAAAAGAATTTGAAGTGAAATGGGCCATTCTTTTTTTAAACATATACAGACATCCCTAGAGCCTTTTTTTTAAATTAAAAATCAACATCTTTGGAAGACTTGATTGTAACATAGAGTCACTGACGTTTAAGAAAAAGTATGTCTTAAATGTGATAAAAATTCTTTAATTTGGATGATGAATTCCACTATGTAATGGAGTGTCCATACAGTTTATTTATATTTCGTAGAAAACATATTAATCTTGATTGTAAATACTCATGAATTTGAGATTCTCTATCTACTTATTCGATTGGAATTCTAGCTGTGGTTACGAGTTTTAATTTAAATATTGATTTTGTTAATATAATTCTTAAATCCTTTGGAAGTTTACTGGGGTACATTTCTCGATTAAAACTATTCTTTAAAACCGGGTAGTTTAAGCATTTATAAGACTCTCTCTCTCTCTCTGAAAACATCAAAGCACCGCCACATATCCTCTCCCCTCTTTTGTAGGTCACCGAATCCACGATAATATAAATATCAAAAAAAAAAAAAAAAATAAAAAAAAAAAAAAAAAAAATCCTGAAATAAAACATAATACCCACTTTAAAAAATTCTCCTACATATACATATAACAAAAAACTTTTTTGGTTACTCAATATTGAAGACAAAGAAACTCTTAATTCTGTGGGCAAATTCATAAATGATAACATGTTGTAGTAGCCATACACTTTTATATATAGTATTCCCTTTAAGGTATTCAATGTATAATGAAGGAATCCTGAACACTTTTGAATCATTTTAAACTATAAAAATATGTATTGCTAAATAATGATGAAAGTGAAATTAACCAAACTTACATGACTGATAACATATTAGAAGCAAAGTTGTCAAAGTTAGCATAAATCATAGTTTCGTCAAGAAATTGTAAAAATGTCCACTCGGTAGACCTCATTTTTACCCTACAAAATCTCTAAAATCCAGGAGCTTCCGGGGGCTTTGCCCCCTGGGCCCCCACCAGGGCTTCGCCCTGGACCCACTGGGGACCTCAAGGCGACCCCCAGACCCTCTGCCTACTTTTGGCGCCCCCTCTAACTTCAATTCCTGGATCCGCGCCTGATTAGGTACCAAATATGGTCGTTATACATTGAATACCTTAAGTGAAATAGTACAATATTATTGTTGATTTACAAATTGTTATACTATCCATTGGCATATCTTTTCTTTATTATTGTACATGTTGTAATAATTTCATACTTGCTCTGTTATGGGCTCTAAATTAGAAAATAAATGTTCTGTTCTGTTCTATACACCTGTGGCTTGACTACATTTTTTTTCTATTTGTGAATACGTCCAGAGGTGCTTGGAGACAGGGTAAAGACAGCACCGCAGTCTTTATAGGGGGCACTGCTTAGATATACATTTTAGTCAAACTCATGAAAACAATATATCCTATAATTTAAGTAATCCACATCAGAGACAAATCAATATATGGTCAATATCCGGAGAGTGCATACACAAAGTCCACAGTGCATGTTCATTATGTAATATTTACATTAGTGATGATTTTTCAATCGGCTTCATATTGATCCTTTCTATTATTGAGGGAGCTTGCGGACTCAAAACTGGTGGAATATAACTTTTCCTTCAGCGTCATGACCATTATTACGTCATAGTCAACTCAATTACTTTATGTCCAAATGACTTCATAAACATCGCACATTGCTTAACACAACTAGAAACATTTTCTCCAAAATTGAAACATGCTATTTTGCCTTATGATTAAAACAATTCTCATACAGACAAGCACTCAAGACTTGTCCACAGAAACTTTAACCTTGCCCATAACTTTTGATTGGTTGGAGCTATGGCTTTCATATTTCACGTGTGTATTCCTTGTGACAAGACCTTTCTTTGGGTACCAACATATTTGACCTCTTGACCTTTGACAAACTTTTGCAAAATTTTATCAAACTTCAACCTTGGCCATAACTTTTGAACAATTGGTGCTTCGGATTTCATGTGGATTTTTTGTGAGAATACCTTTCCTTGGGTACAAATTTTTTTGACCTTGGAGTTTGACCCACTTTTAAAAAAACTTTAACATTGACCATAACTTTTGAACAATTGGTGCTAGGCTCTTTTATAATATTACATAGATATATTTCTTGAAACAGGACCTTCCCTTGGGTACCAACAATTTGACCCTTGGAGTTTGACCTACTTTTGAAAAACTTTTAACCTTGCCCTTAACTTTTGAACAGTAGGTACTAGGGCTCTCATATTTCACATGTGTACTTCTTGTGACAAGACCTTCCCTTGAATACCAATAATTTTGACCCTTTCACCTTGACCTTGGAGTTTGACCTACTTTTGAAAAACTTTAACCTTGACCATAACATTTGAATAGTTGGTGCTAGGGCTTTCATATTTTCTTTTTATTTCCTGCCACAAGACTTTCCCTTAGGTACCAACAATTTTGACCCATTGACCTTGAAGTTTGACCTACTTTTGTAAAACTTTAACCTTCACCATAACTTTCCAATGGTTGGTGCTAGGACTTTCATATTTGACAGGTATATTCCTTGAGACACGACCTTCCCTTGGGTACCAACATTTTTGATCTCTTGCCTTGACCTTGGAGTTTGACTTGCATTTGAGAAACTTTAATCTTTCCCATGAGCTACCACATTGGTGAATCAGAGTTTCACAAATACATCTTGTTTAATTTGTTAATGTTTTTGTGACAAAAGAGGGATGTAAAAACTGTGATAGAAACAGTACCAGTCTATAGACAGTGATTAATTTTAGATTATTTCTTCTAAATGCACAAGAATATTTTTAGCAAGACTGTAAAGTTTTAATATGATATTTTTTTTTACCTTATAACTTACACTACTCTCCCTTTCAAACAAAAATAGCAACAATTAACTGTAAAACTTTTAGCAACATTTATTGTAGAAAATATAAATACAATGTACAATTTCATATTTATCACAAATTATTTGACAGACTAAGGAATATTCAGAAGAAATAACATCCACTAGTACAGCTGCACTACTGTACAATATGTTGATCATACATGGAAATATTTATGTCTGTAACGATTCCCATTAAGCCAGTACAATATCCCCACCTCTACCTACAGTTAAAATACACCACAAAAGTCAAGTTTAAAATAGGAGTGAATCTTTTAATGGATCCAGATGTAGTTCAAATTGATCCCTCCCTGATCCACTAATTACTTATGCAGTGTATATATATATTTAAGTCAAAATATGTATTGCTGTCTCTGTTTCAGGTAAAGGACAAACTGATAACAAACAAATGATGCATAGCTGAAATATATTCCTCTTATCCCCCCCCCCCCCCTTCCAAATTAAAACAGCACATATTCACACTAGTTCTACTGTATCTGGACGACAGTTACGGGACTAGAGCTGCTGATGTCCAGAAAGAATGGCCCCTCCTGACCGGGCAGAAATGTACTCGGCATGATGTTATAGATCCCTCCTGAGATTCTGTCTAACTGCAGTACACAATAACCATTCCTGTAAAAAGATTTTATGAAAATAAACCTCTTCATCTCTCCCACATTATTATGTTTTCTGTAAGTTTGTCTTTATATGATCAAAACCCAACTATTTTCACAGAGTGTACAAAAGATTTATATAGTGTAAGCAAACTATGTTGAAAAAGTTCACGACTGTTTCTTCTACAGAAAATTTGTCAGCACCTACATGTGGGATTAACCTCACCACCCCTTGTGAGTGAGCCAGAAGGGAATACAATATGTGTCACACTGACTGCTAAATACTATTTAGGCAATATATTACATACAAAATACCCACACTATTATATAAATAAACCTTATCTGAATAATTAATGCAGAAAATAAGCTCCAAAATGCCACAATTTCTTTAACTCTCTTTTTGTGTCTTTATACTAAGAATGCTTTTTGAAACAGAAACGACAAAAATTATCACAAACATTTATCTGTGCACAAAGGCAATATTTTTATGAAATAAAAGGAATCTACTTGCAATCTGTAATCTCCTGAGCTGGTTCTCTTATCATAACTTTCTGTAATTCACCTGAGCCACTACTCTTGTTATATTTACCAGTAATCTCCTGAGCTGGTTCTTTGTCATATTTACCTTTAATTTCCTGAACTGGTTTTCTTGGCATATTTACCTACAATTTCTTGAGCTGATTCTCTTGTCATAATAACCTCCTAACCTGTAATCTCCTAAGCTTGCTCTCTCTTGGCAAATTTACCTGTAATCTCCTGAACTGGTTCTCTTGAATTGACCTGGTGCCCCTGGCACATTTTCAGATACACATGTCACCTCAAAGCCAACACTATACTGTCTGAAAACAAACCAATAATACCTTTTTTGTCAATGACAATTCTACTACAATCTTTTATTGGAGAACAAACTGTCAGAAGATGTGAACAATTTAAAAACATAATAATAAATTGGCACTCTTGGTCCACATCTACTTTATTTAACAGGGGGTACCATCCCACTGGTTCATATCATGTCAGGGTACAAAATCATGGTTCGTCCTGGAAAATTCTAGTTCCCTTATGTTTGAGATAATACTGACTTTAGACTTTGGAGGTCAAGGAGTATATATTTACTGCTGTCTTTCTGATTAATTAGTTACAACCGCTGCTGGACTATCTATTGTACACACATTTGGGACTTAGTTCCAGGAGAACATTGTTGTCTGTCTGGTTTACATGTTATCAGTGATTCATCTTTGAGTCAAATACTGACTTAATTTCAACCTAGAAGTTCCGTTCCAGCAGTATACAATTGTCTGTCTTCAAGTTAAATACTGACTTTGGATTTAAGAGCTCAAGCAGTATACAGTTGTGTGTCTGGTTAACTACAAGTTATTTTGAGTTATCCTTTAGTTAAATACTGACTTTGGCCCTAGGAGCTCCAGCAGTATACAGTTATCTGTTTGGTTAACTATTAGTTATTTTGAGTTATCCTTGATATTTATACTGACTTTGATCCTAGGAGCTCCAGCAGTATAGAGTTGTCTGTCTGGTTAACTACTAGTTATTTTGAGTTATCTTTGAGTTAAATACTGACTTTGGCCCTAGGAGCTCCAGCAGTATACAGTTGTCTGTCTGGTTATTGTCCAGTCTGATCTGGTAGATTGGGTTATTTGGGTGACTGTCCCTGTAATTCCCGCAGCCTCCAGCAGTACATCCCTTCCACTGACCATTCATCTGACAACAAAATTGGAAACCAATTTTAAATTGTCTCTCTACATGAAATAAAACTTGAAAGTTGTCTCTCTACATAAAAGTTACTTGAAGTCCACTGAATGGATATTAAAATATAATTTGAGGCTCAGTTCTGAAATATAAATAATTTATTCAGCTTGACTTGTCCTTTATAACATACCCTTTTTTCATACTGTTTCTTGTAAGGGTCAACAATCTTAGTCAGGCTGAATTCACAGGAGGAGAAGACCCGTATCGTGTAGTGTATGGTGTTGTTTTTTTCGTACTGTGAGATAACCAGTGTAAATTGTCTGGTTCCCTTCTCCTCCACCATCTTACAGAGATAGTGTGGGGTGTTGATTCGGACGCCATCTTTATAAGGAGGGGGACTGTAGGGGTAGTAGACCTTTTTTCCCTCAGATTTGTAAACCAGCAGTGTAATAAACTCCTTATTGTCAGCAAAATCATCCTAAAAAAGAAAACTCAGTGACATCATATTCATTTGAAATGTTATTTGTGTGGCTGGATATAGTTACAAGCATAATGGACATGCATATCTAAAATAATAAGAATCCAGTATTCCTAATTCTTACAGGTACACTGTATGGTGTGATTTTATATTTGTTTCTCCAATGAGACAAATTGGTGAATTTATTTGTAATATTTTCCAATCACATAAACCATTTCTCAACATGTTGAATTAAACTTGTATACAAACACACTACAACATTTACCCCAATGTGAACTCATGCCCCTACCAGTAATTTAGCTCCCCCCTCCCTCCCCATTCCTGCTTGTTTTTTGATGTATGAGTCCAGAAACTGCATTCTTAATTACACAGTAGTACATATATATTCATCCAGATGATTGTCTAGAATTTCTACCTATATGTAAACATGCTATATCCTCTCATGCAAGAGACAAACAGAGAGATTCCTCAAGTAGGCATATAAATTCTTTTACTTATATTGTTTTTATTAACTCCATACTTTGCTGTTTATAATCTGTGTGAGTAGAAATCATAAGAGGTTACCTGACTGGTTCATATCTCCAGAGAATTCCATAAATTATGACTTATATTATACCTACCTTGTCTGTGATGTGTCTGGTCAGTAGAATCCAGACAGCTGCAGGCTGACTGGCTTGGATTTCTAGCCGGTATTGTGGATTATCACTGATGTTATAAGAGTCCCGCCTGGGTCCCTCTTTAGCTGCCCAAGTACTAAAACATAAAAACACCAATCATATCAAAGTACTGAAACATACAGACCAATCACATAACATGTACTAAAACATAAAAACTCAAGACAAAACAGCATGTTATAGTAAGTTTAAATGTAGTTTGATGGTTTCCTATAGTTAAAAATAGCAAATTATTTCATTTTTTAGTATTTTTAAGAATTGTTGGTTTTGTATGATGTCATAGTTAAAATTTCCCGTACAAATTAGGCTCCGCCCCCATTTGGTAGCCTTAACTGTGCTGCGTAAGAGTACTTACTAAAAATTTAGTTCATCCTTTCAATATACCCTTAATTTATGAATCTTAAGAATTGAGGCTTTAAATTTTTAAATGTTTCTTCATTAAAATATGTAAATACAATTTCCTGCATTTTAAAAACATGTAATTAAGCCTAATTTAAAATATACTATTATCAATCTATCCAGAAAAAATAAATTTGAACTCTTACAATGTATAAGTGTGTGACGTATATTCAAATACTGACTTTAACTTACCTGTGAGTACATGCTGTATATTTAAATACTGACTCTAACTCACCTGTGAGTACATGTTGTATATTTAAATAACTCTGGATTCCAGTTTATGTATATGACATCAAAAAATCTGCATAATGATTCATAGTCAATCCAAAACACCCCTGTAAATTAACAAAAGACCACAATTATAATAGATAATACATACAGGCTTAATTCTCTAAAAAATAGAATCTACTATTAATAATATGTTTTGGTGGGTATTTTCAGTAAGACTGACAAAGCAGTTACAAACCCATCACCAGTCACTTACCCATTGAGTAACCAGGCACATAACAATTTTACACCTTGTATGTTAAATACTGTAGATTCCTTATTTTACACGAGTACTTAATATCGCGAAATGGCCCAAGGGCGTCAAATCGCGAGAACAATAATTCACGAATGGGTGTTTTATCTAGAGATTTTACATACATTAAAGCAACATAAAAATAAAAGCGAGTTATTTTATTTCGCGAGTGGTGCTTCTCGCATAATTACGCGATAATTTATTCCTCGCGTATATTTAGGAATCTACAGTACACACTTATCCCTATCACTGCAGTCTTCATCCAGACATACAGGTCCCATAAATTTATACCAATGAGAGTTAGTACCTGGTGTCAGATACCAGTGTTTCTCCAACTCGAGTTTCTTCTTACTGTCCAAAGACAACAGGCTTTCCAAGTGTCTTTGGACAATAAAAAAAATTTTAAGATCTCAAGTTAAAGAAAAAACTGGTGACTAATGAGTGCATACTATGGAACCCTTCCTTTGCAGAACTTAAGGTCTCCAAGTTATCTGTACTTAATACACAGCATGGATCATGACAACTAATTATACGGTGCTGTATGCTTATTAGGGTCCCTCTAATGTTTGACAAATAATCAGTTGACAACCTTCATTTACTCTCTGTATAAATAAGAGATGGCAGTCAAATACAGAATTGCTAATCGGTTAACCGCAAGACGTTCCAACTGATTAACTGGTTAATCGTATCAAAATACACATTTTCCTAATATTTTCTTTTCAAGTAAATTTGATCTTTTTTTTCAATTTTGTTTCAATTTCAAAAGGCAAAGAAAAAAATTTAGGACAACCATGAAACATCCCTATATATCCATACCATTGTCAGATTCGAGTTGTAATCTAGAATCATTATACTGATACATCTATAATGCATGAGCACCAATACACCTTAAAATCATAATTCTTCACCTAAAGAGATTTGAAACAGACAGAGCAAAAAAAGATGGACAGACAGACAACTAAAGTAATGTCTTCCTACCATTGTCATATTGCTGAGCACTTTTGGGATCATAGTTTAACAGTTTCTGTAACTCTGGAGTCCAATTCACAGAATCATTCTCAGAAAAATGTCCCTTCCACCTTAAGTGGCTCCAAGGATTTTTTAACATAAAGAGTTTTCTCCCTTTCACTTCCCGAATGTCCAACATTGCGTAAGCATGAGTTGGTACCAGGCCGGCACGATCAGCCTCTGCTTCATGTAGATCACCTGTTGCTATGGTAATTAAGCAGTGTCCTTTATGAAATCTGTCGTGGATCCGTTTAAATTCTTTGTCTTTGTCAAAATCATCAGAATTACGTTTAATGGCCACTCTCTCAGGAATCCATCCTGTCAGTGCATGAAGGTCAATATTCTGAAATGTAAGTGCTTTAAGGTCATTTATCAGTTCATTTTAAAGTGTGTTTTCAATGCAAAATCTTAAACTAAATGAAAGCATTTTTCATAAAAACTAAATTATCTTATAATTATTTTATAACCTAGCAATCACATCTATAAAATATAAATTAAATAACAAGGTTTCACAATAAACCTTTTTTTTTTCAAAAGGCAGCTTCTTATTAAAAAAAACATAGGTAATCAGAGATTACAGAGCTAACCTCAACGAATGTCGCCTTTAAGTAAGGCAAAGTCCCAAACTAATAATCTAGTAGTGTGCATCTTTAGATGTAGCATTTATGCAATTTTGGTCTGATAGGGCTTGCAGTTACTTGGGAATGGACTAATCCAAGAACTTTAAACTAGTCCCTCATCCAGAAAATGTAATTCAAATCCAGCATCTGAAGTAAGTTTGAGAGTGTTCATCCTGTGATGCATCATCCATGCAAGTTTGGTTCAGATAGCCCTTATAGTTTACTTTAACCTGGTAACTCATCTGAAAAATGTAGGTGAGATCCAGCATCCAAAGCAAGCTTGGTAGTGTGCATCTTCAGATGTATCATCCATGCAAGTTTGTTCAATATAGGGCTTAAAGTTACTTGGAAATGAGACCTGCTCTAAAAACTTTAACTTGGTCACTCATTCAGAAAATGTAGGCCAGATCCAGCATCCTTTGGTCAATATAGGGCTTTTAGTTACTTGGAAACGAGACCTGCTCCAAAAACTTTAACCTGGTCACTAATCTGAAAAATGTCAGTCAGATACAGCATCCGAAGCAAGCTTGGTTGTGTGCATCTTCAGATGTATCATCCATGCAAGTCTGGTCAATATAGGGCTTTTAGTTCCTTGGAAATGAGACATGCTCCAAAAACTTTAACCTGGTCACTCATCTGGAAAATGTAGGTCAGATCCAGCATCCGAAGCAAGTCCAGTAGTGTGCATCCTTAGATGTATCATTCATGCCATTTTGGTCAATATAGGGCTTTTAGTTACATGGAAATGAGATCTGCTCCAAAAACTTTAACCTGCTCTAAGAACTTTGACCTGCTTTTACCCTGCTCCAAAAACATTAACCTGGTCATTCTTCAGCTGAAATTGCAGCATCTGAAACCTTGACTGGTACAATGAAACATACTAGTAGCATCCTCCATGCATCTCTGTTTAATATAAGGTACAGAAGTACTTGAAAAGAAAACTGCACCAAAAACTTTAACCTGGGACGCTGATGCCGAGGGTATTACATATGCTCCGCCAACTTTGTTGAGGTGAGCTAATAAAAAGGGCTGACATATCACTGAAACACTCCAACATACTATACATGTACTTTTTTTACATAGGGTCATAATTCTTGGAACCTCAATTTCTGTTTAATTTGCAGGTAGAAAATTACGCAAATTTCTTGTGTTCCCTTTATATGTCTTAAATGCACCTAAATGTACGCTGTTGACAAAATTTCCACAGAAAAAATTGTGACACGTACATATAGCATTGATTAATTCCAAGTGGGAAAAAGTATGTGTACAGTAATCAGTTTACTGATGTTAGAAACAAAATCTACTGATAATGATACATACAGAGTTGGATCCTGGGAAATCGTATCCACCCATCACTTTCATGTAAGCTTTCTCCAGGAGAGAGATCCACAACTCGTTCCTGTTGTTTGAGAATGAACATAGTAGTTCTCCGTCCCGTCCCATAGGGAAAAAGTCATCAATGATCACCTGAAATATCAGCATTTCACAACATAAGTACAACATGTATAGGTTAACAAAGCTCATCTAAACAAGCATTCTGAGAGTATTGCATTAGCAATACTAGTCCCCTACCGGCAAGTGTAATCTGGTTCCAGTTAAAAATTGAAAATGCCATAATTCCGTCAAAAATTAATGAAGCGGGAGGAAATGCAAACTTGATCTATAACTAATCAAGGTAAAGCCACATACCAAAAATCAGCTCAATATCTACAAGCGTTTAGAAGAAAATTGCGGAAAACCCGTAAAAATTGAAAAGGCCGTAATTCCGTCAAAAATCAATGAAGCGGAACGAAATGCAAACTTGATCTGTAACTCATCAAGATACATTCACATACCAAAAATCAGCTCAATATCTGCAAGCGTTTAGGAAAAAAGTGCGGAAAACCAAGTGGGACAGACTGACAGACAGACAGAGGGACAGACAGACAGACAGACGGACGGACAGACGGACGGACAGACTCAGAGGAAACCTATAGTCCCCTCCGGTTTCACCGGTAGGGGACTAATAATCATCTAGAAGCACAGCTTAATTCTAAACATATTATATAATTCTTAATTTTGTCATCATGATTGTCTCTGAAATTTAACATTCATAATACAATTATCTTCTAAATGTTAAATTGGAATGCTTAAAATCTTCTAAACATGAAAACTCCCCTGGATAAGTTCACAGGCACATGGGAAAATAGAGACCCCTCTCCTCCCCAAACACACACATACCCCAAAGTCAACATTCACATCATCAAATATTTATTATCAATTAAACCTCAGCATAAACAGAAAAAATAATTTCTGCATAAATTCACAGGATTAAATCAAAGTCTAGCCTTGTTAATACGGACATCAATATTCCAGATGCTTCACCTTCTCAATGAAGTTTTTTTGAAACAGAATTTACATTACATCTACAAATTATTAAATGCTTGTTTTGGTAATCAAGACTGAACACTTCACTTATTCAGACGATTTCCTTGGGAACACAAGTGTACAGATTAACAAGGCTTGTGGTCTAACCTTTCTGGGAACTCCATTTATGTTGAGTTTCACCATGTACTTTCCACACGGATTGTATACAGGGTCTCCATTCCTGTTCTGAGGGTAAATAATGCTGAAAAGACAAGTGTTTAAAGTTAAAAAAGGGAAAATAAATAATGGAGTAATGCCCTTAACTCTTCCATCAAGTACAAAAGAACTGTAAAACATGGTAACAGTGAACAAGCTTATAAGGACTTTAAGCTTAAAGTTGAGTGAATTTTATTTCTGTTTCATTTAAAACATGCTTTGAAGTTATCCCATATAATGCATCAAAATCATTCATCCCTGGATTTGGCCATAATAGTGTTTTACTGTATATGTAAGTGGAAAAATGTTCAGCTAACTCTGACAACATTTAATACATGAATATTTACATTTCCAATGTCTTTGTCCGAGATAAAATTACAAATTGTAAAAATACTTTATTTCTACATAAATCTACTGGTTCATCGATAGGCGCGGTTAAAAAAAATCACGTGCGGGGCGGGACAAATAGAGACAGAAGCGGGGCTATAAGCACGGGAATTTGCAGAATCAGGAGCATGTAAATATAAGGAATAACTGTCAGATTTTTTGGATTCATGACGATGATCAATCGATTGGCTTGCGTGATAATTTTATGCATAAACGCCTTCGGCGTTTATGCAAATTATCACGCAAGCCACTCGATTGATCACATCATGAATCCAAAAAATAAGACAGTTATTCCTTAAATAATTCTTAAATGATTATGTTGACAACTATGTTCAGGAGTACCTGTAGGACTGAGATGAGAAATCAAACTTATTTAAACTTTTTAAGTTTGTTTTAAGAAGGTTCATTTTTCCTAGACCCTTCCTTACCTGGTTATGAGTTTTTTCTTAAATCTCCTTTCATACTGAGCACTGATGGCTAGAGATGAAACGAAACTACAGTCAGATACAATGGTCTGTAAAAAAAAAAAAAAATCGGAACAATAAATATACAGCGAAGATTTTATATTTGTATTCCAAGACTGATTTCAATTTTTCAGAAATGAACTTTCACAATTTTCTATTCCAAATTTGAGTCTGCACACTAGAAATATTTTGAAAATCAATGCCAGGAATGAAAAATAGAAGAATTTTACAAAGCTAAGTCCATACATATATCAATTGATATTCTCGTAGACAATAGTCCAACTTTTGCCTAGTATACAACACTGAGCCTATATGTACATTGTAAAATGTAGCCACTATCTAGAATACAGTATCTGAACCAAGAATCACACAAAACACTCATAGCTGCACAATATTTGCAGGATTTGAGGGTTACCTGTTTTATGCTGTAACAAGACACAGCGTAGATAATTTGTGGGTTATCACAGAATTGCTCGGGTCGTACCCATTCCCTGAAGTTTGATCGCTGCTTTGGAGAGAGAGCAAGCTTTCCACACTTGTCACTAAAAAATTACACAATAAATTATCATCACTACAAATGGTTCACAATCCAAATTACCTGAAATCAGGCTCTTGTATAGAAGTGGATCCAGTAAAAAATCTAAACTTGATCATGTTTATGAGGTTAATCTTGTTTAAAAACGAGACTAATGTCAAAGCTAGGATCTGAGCAAAGTACAAGCTACACTACATCAAGCTGCTATCTGATCAGTTTAAATTACTGCTTTTGAAAACAAATCAAATTTTGCTTTATTTCCTCAAAATTCTTCAATCTGATGATAAAAAACTGAATACAAAGGGTAAAGTCACACCAAAAAAACCCATTTATTTACCTAAATGGCACGGGGTAGGCAAATTTCTCTTTCATGTCGACACTCATAAATGGGACATACTCTCTGCCATTGATAAAAGACGTCTTCCTGTAAACAGATGAACATACAGGGGATATATTTACATCCACTGAATATTATCTACTTGATTTCTTATGAAAACCAAGGTCATTTATCAATCAGTAAACGCCGCTAAGCAAGCCACCTGTATAGGTTTCTTGAGCAGCAGCTCTTCCATCAATGGAACACACAATGTCATACATATCAATAAAACAATATTTAACGTACTTAATTTTAATTTATATGTTTTTTTATACAAATATAAATATAAACAATGTCTTTCTTTGTTTGTTATACAGGAATTAATGTTGCAGCCATTGCAGGAAAAAATTACATAACCCGCATTTTTTCTGCAACAGCTGCAACATTAATTCAAATACTAACAACCGAAGAAAGCATTTTGTTGTTCAAATATATCTGCCATTAATGAGAGGTCTCCCAGGAAAGAGATACATGATTTAGCTGTACTTGTAAGCAGAATTGTTTAAAGAAAAACTAAATGATAAATAAAAGCCAACATTAACTTGTAATATAATTATATCTAAGAAATAAGTTAGTATTTGGGTTGTTTGGATATATATTTTAAACTAATAAACCCATTTTTTTAATCATATGATATTCTCAAACCCTCAGCACTTTTAATCATCTATAATGTGAGAAATTTAATTTTTTTTATTACCTGAGTAACTCTACATCTTTCTTAGTATACACCAAGTGAGAGATTTAATTTCTCCATTACCTGAGTACTTCTATTTCTTCTTTAGTATACACAGAGGGACCTAGGTTGATAAGATGACCAGCTTTTCTGGGGGCATTGGTTGGGGCAGGTTTTCCTCCAGGAATAGAGACTTTGTCCTCCTCGTCTAGAAATGCCCCATACCCCAGGGGTGGTGGTTTGTACTCCCCGGCCTTGTTGAGGGGAGGGAGGGGCTTTACCCCACCAGGTGGTGCTGAGAGTTTTTTCTTTAAAGCTTCAGCCCTATCAAGAAAATAATTTTGTTAACGAACAAATCAGAAATTTTAATATACATGTATATACATAATAAAAACAAAAAAGAAAATTGATAAATAATTAACTACTTTTCATTTTTTTTTTAAAATTCATGATGTCTGTCATTAGGTGGACATGCCTACTGCCCTACATGTCTATAATCAGAGAAACATGTCATACAGCCATATCCCTGAAAAGACATTCCTTCTTATATTTTCTTAATATTTATTCTCATCCATTGCCATTGAGACAGGTCTACCTATATCTAATAGATATATGTACCTATTAGTTTAGGAGGATCTGGGAGATATAATTATCTAAGATCTATGAAACATTCCTGTCTAGAACCTGAGAGACATACCTGTCTAAAGCCTGAGAGACATACCTGTCTACGACCTGAGAGACACACCTGTCTAAGACCTGAGAGACACACCTGTCTAAGACCTGAGAGACATATCTGTCTAAGACCTGAGAGACATACCTGTCTAAGACCTGACAGACATACCTGTCTAAGACCTGACAGACATATCTGTCTAGAACCTGAGAGCCATACCTGTCTAAAGCCTGAGAGACATACCTGTCTAAAGCCTGAGAGACATACCTGTCTAGAACCTGAGAGCCATACCTGTCTAAAGCCTGAGAGACATACCTGTCTAAAGCCTGAGAGACATACCTGTCTAAAGCCTGTGAGGCCACTTTTGTCATCTTGTCTTGTAATCCCTTGTCTGTGGTGCTGTCTCTCTGAAAAAAATCATAGGAGTCCTGATTATATTCAAGTATGTGTAACTACCTTAACTTACAGCATTATGTCATTTAATTACCTAAAAATACATAAAAATAATTCATTTATTTTCTTTTTGTTTTCATCTTAACTTATCAAATTACTGATTGAGTATTTATTGAGTGAAAAATAAAGCTTTAGTTCCAGGGATAGACATTAACTTTCAGATTCACTTGCCCTTCGGGCAAGTGATCTCAAACTTTGACTTGTCCGAATGCAAAACTTGGTTGCCCAAAATTAGGATGGAACTTAAGACGAAAATTATTAATTACTGCAAACATTCTGAAAAGAAAAAATGTGACGAAATACACTACTGTCAATTTGGCAAGTTGAGCTACCTGGTACCTGAAAAAATTTTGATCCTGCATTTGTACATAAATGTATACCGCTTGTAAATGTACTTGTATATGTAACCTGTTAACACACACTGCCATGCAGCAATATCCCTTCATTTCCTTTTTAAATATCATATTTTTGAAAATTATTTGCGGTAGGATCATTTTGTAATTCGTGATTTTCAGCGATAACTGTGATGCAACGCTTAAGGAAGATAGTTGCTACGAAACATACATCTTACCTTGATCAGGATACAACGTGTTACACTGTACTTATATTCTGTGCTTGAATAATCTAATTCCCTAATAAGAAGTTAACAAAATTTTGTTAGACGTAGAGTGTATTTCCTACGAAAGAAAACAACAAACTTGATTTTTAAATTAACCGTATAATCCAGAAATGCTACCAAGGAATTTCAAATGCAAAACATTGTCAGTCAGGTGCGTGGCGGAAATCAAGTGTTCAATTTATTGTTTTATTTATAAATTAATGTAAACTAAATAAATATGTACATTTGTATCAGAAAAATTCACTTGCCCGATCGGAAAAGTAGGTCGACAATTTCACTTGCCCGAACTGAGAATTTACTTGTCCCGGGCAATCGGACAACCGTTAATGTCGATCCCTGAGTTCATATGTAGGTTATTCAATATTGCACCAAGTAGTTCATAGTCAGTATTTGCACTTACTGTTATATACAACTAAGATATGTAGTACACATACAGTTATTTGATAACTCAAGCATTTCTTCAAAAGAGAGAGCAAGAGAGAGAGACAGCAGTGTCTTTCATTCATATTTTAAAAGCAGTTCTTCAAAAGAGAGAGAGAGAGAAAGCAAAAGAAAGAGAAACAAGAACAAGAAAAGGAAAACAATCAAATCAAACTGAAATTGTAAACAAAAACAAAATAATATCTGACGATATTTCAGAAAAAATGTTTTTTACGATTTTGAGGAAGACTTCCACAGCCTCTGTGTAGAGATCCTTGGCCTCGGGGAGATTTCCCGCCTCGTCTTCATCGAACGCCTGGTGGAGAAGGAAGTTCCCTCGTTCCAGGTTCAGTTTCTCCTCCGACTTGTGTTCTGTCTGCTGTGTCTGTACACTCCCCGAGTTTACTGTAAACAGAAAGAAAAACATGGTGCATTAAGGCACTAAGATGTCACTACTGTTATAACCTACATAAGGTACTAAAGGACTGCTAGTGAAAAGAATATTTCAGGAATTATTAAGCATGGTTTCTTTCGTGATTTTCCCTGTGGGTAAATAAACTTATATATGTAATCTACAAGACGGTTTTTTCATTATAATATATAGGACCGGTTATTGATTAGAAATTTCGTATTGTGATATATTGCGATATTTGGAACTGTATTGCGATATGTATTGCATTATTTTTTATAACACTTAAAATGCTCTTTTCTTGTTTTATTAACCTCCATTTATAAGCAGAGTGTATAAAATTTTATAAATACGTTGTAACAAAAAAGTTCTAGTTGAATTCACTATAGTTTGGCAACGAAATGCAACCATACAACAAAAACCTTTACCGTTTGGTCGTGTTTGGCACGATTTAAAACATTCCTGACATCTTAAATTTCACATTTTACTTCATAAATCTAAAGCCCAATCATTTTGCTGGTATATCGGCACTGGAAAAACGTATCATAAAGACGATATTTTTTGTTAACGAATCACAATATACCGGAATATAGATATTATTGTGCAGCCCTAATACCGTATAACGGGTATTTTCTGCGGTTGGAAATTTTTGCGATTTAACCCCTAAAAGATAGCAAATTAATTTCTGCGTTTTCAATTTCTGCGCTTGCATTATACCGCAAAAAAATATATACTGGGTATGATCACCAAACTCTAAGGATTATCAGATAGCTGCCATGTTTACGTTTTATAAATTCATTGAGACATATTGATCAAAGGTGCATGAGAACTGGTATTAAGCTATTAAGCTTAATTAAACTACTATCTTTTAGTTAGTCTTTGTAAAAATATGTCAAGTCCCAATTGAAATGAATTATTACAGTATCAGTCCACCCAAACAAAAATAAAAATCTTTATTCTACATTGTAACAAACGTTTTATGCGATCTATTAAAATATTTAAATATATAGATAATTAATGCATCCAAGCCATATTCTAAAAATACACTTATAGTTAATTGCCATCAAAATTTACCTGGTGTTTATATTTTAAGCTCAAACAAACAGTTGCATAATCAAGTAACCTAAAGTTGACCGTATACAATCACAGGTGCCATGTGCAATGAGGCGTAACTAATCCTGTCAGTCGTCTGCATTGAGTGAAATTCACAAGACAATCAAGCCACATTGTTTATAAAAGCAGTAATTATGGTCTCAAGATAAAACACAAGATTGAAAAAAAGTGTTAAAGAAAGAAAGAAAAGCTAATATGTGTTGTTTTCAGCTTTCGGAGTTTGGACGAATAATTGCGAAATGTCGTTTAGTCATTTACATGTAGGCCTACATGCATATCCATATAAAATAAAGAAATAGGTACAAGAAAAGATGTTTAACTTTTTGTATAAAATTATTAAATTGATATTATTTACAGGAACGTTTTGATTCAATATGTTTTGGACAAATCCTGACATCTAAAATCTTTGAATTTCGATGACACCCGAATTTCTCGCTAACGAGGACGTGTCCACTCATGAGTCTGCGGACGCATCGTTTTTAAGAACCTTGCGTCCCAAATAATTTTGCTGCCTCCAGTACGCAGGTTCTTGCGTTAATGAGAATCCTGTGACATACGCACAACTTATCATACTTGCATGTATAAAATATATATCTGAAGAAATATTGAAAAATATTTTGTGATTGTAATTTTTGCGGATTTGTCCTATCCGCAAAATTCCGCAAAAATTGGACAACCGCAGAAAATACCCATTATACGGTAATACTGGTATATGAAATTATAAGCTATCATTGATTTAGATTAGTTTCTGGCTTTTTTTTTTAGTTTCTTTGCCTCAGGATATATTTGTTGGCGTACATTAAATAACCTATCTAAGATTGGAATAATTACAGGCTCTTTTGAGTTCCTCTGCTCTCAGTATATACTCGTTAGCTTTGTTGGTGATGTTTGGTAACTTGGAACCTGCCAGAGCTGCTGATAATAACGCCTGGGCCGCCTCCTGATGATAAAAACATTGTAACACGCATAAGTCAAACTCACATCAAACTCGGCAAAAAATTACCAAATACTTTGTAATGTCAAAGGGTTACATTACAGACACATTATAAAAATATTACATTTTTAGGGTAACGTGAATTTGTTATCCCACTATTGTCTGAGGTGAAGCTGGGGTCAAAATGGTTTTCAAGGGACAACAATTTCACATTACCCTATAAACAAGTAATTTTTTTTCTCGTTATACTGAATGCATTTAGAATACATTTAAAGGAGAATGTCACTGTGAAACATACATGCAAACATTCTGCACAGTTAACAATTTTTATACTGCTGCTATGTAATGTTACCTGGAGGGCATGACTTATGCACATGGTAAGGAAAAAGTAATTTTTAACAAATGTTTTTAAACCATTTAAATTTGACTATTTATCATGAAAGTATAGAAATGTATGTTAACACCTGACTCATATTCTACTTAAAATATGTACAAGGGTCGTCTGAAAAATATGAAGTCTTTTGTTATAACTTTCTTATTAAACACCATATTATAACCAAACTTGGTAGATACATTTTCACAAAAAATCTTAATACTTTGAATTGAAAATAGCAAATATATAGTGATGCGTGAACAGGATTTCACATCTGGACTGTTGGTCTTGTGTTTTTACATGTATTTTAGCTATATGAAAATAAAAGTGAGCAATTTTATTTCTTGAGTGGTGTTTCATGCAAAATTAAGCAATATTTTATTGCTCATGAATATTTAGGAATCTAAAAGTATATATAATAATAGTATTATAACAGTAACTTGATCTGAAGAGCCAGATCATGTCAAGTTGACATCTTCAATCGCTATAATGCAGTCTTCGACAAATCCCGGGAGTCCGAAGCCCAGGATCTGGTAAAATTGGAAGCAGGCATGTGGAAATTGCGTACTTAAAAGCCCGAAGGGCATGTAAATTCTGAGGCCTAAGCCTCCATATTATCAAATTAAATAATACCAATAACATTAAATGTACTTAAAAGTCTGATTTTTCATCTGAAGTGGAGCACCAAATAAAATTTTAACGATAGTTTATTCTACAGTGATTTCCAAGGAACTCTTTTGCAAAGGAGACACAAAAAGTGTACAGGTTGAAAACAATATTAATGGCGAGACAATAAATCGATAGAAATGGATTTCCGATCATTTCCTTGGCATGAAAAGGCAAATAAGAATAAAATTACTTGATAAAATTCTGGGCATGTAAATATTTGTTCGGGCTAGCGTAATAAGTGGTTAAACCTGCCCGAAGGGCATGTACTGAAAAAAAAGATTTGGCGAAGACTGATAATGTTTTGTTTACATTAATCAACAACAGTAAGTCCCAAGTCAACACGGTCAAACAAGATTCTCAGTGTTGTGAGAGTGGGAATTAAAAAAATGGAAGCTTCAAATAAAAAATATTAAATATGTACAGGACAATTTTTGTTTTATTTCTTGTGAATTTTGATGTTCTGTGATTTCGTAAATGGGGTAAAAAATATATATGTGACATTTTGTGTGCAGCCGATACTTATCACATATATGTGTTAACTGTGTAGGTGCTCTATCACCAGAGCTGCTAGCCTAATGCTCCCATCTCCTTTAAGAACAATGTTCCAAGCTGAGTTTAAAGTTTGGGATGTCATTAAGATTCAATTAAATGTTAGTCTCACCTTTTGTTATAGTAAGAATAATCTAAATGAGTCTCAGGACAGGCGTTAAACCGGGTTCGTGTAGTTAGAATAATCTAACTGTGTCTCTGGACAAGCCCTCACCAAACCGGGTCCGTAGGACAATATCATTTTAACGATAGAACGTTCTATCTAGGGTTCGTGGGACATTATCATTTCTATTAGAACATTAGAACATTCTATCTAACTTTTTGTTTACAAGGGATCATCTTTGCATTAAACATAAACAAGTTTAAATGTTAATTATCACAATACTTACATTATAATAAAACACGGCCATGGGGTAATTGCCTGTTTTATCATACTCAACAGCTAGATATGCAAACTGCTTTCCATCCGTCTCCAAAATATCAGGATCCACACCTTCATTTATATCGTCATCCATTTCAACCAATCAAGCAACAACTACACACGAGATAATCACCTAAATGATATATGTAGCCAATTAATTATACACTTTTTGTGTTCGCCATACATGGACGGGTACCTGAACGTTATAGTTTGATAATGAAAGCTATCTTCAGCCTCCGTGCTGTCAGTAATATTGGGATTTTGAAATTTCGTTTGTACGTTCCACTTGACGTTTTTCAAGATTGTCTGAATGAATCTCGTTACTTTTACACCAATCTTACCATTTAATCAGTGTCAACACATCGATGTCTATCCATAAACATGTAAATTTACTCCGTAAGTTCGATAGTCATCTCTGTTGACGAACCGAAAATAGGAATGGCGTCTACGGGAGATGACAATTCGTTCCTTTACTTATTCGGTAAGTTGGAGGAAGATCGACCGTTCACATTACACTACAGGACTACTACCTCACTTGATTTAAAATTTTGTTTTTAATTTTATTTAATTTTTTGAAGCAGTTTGCAAATTCTCCTGTAGCTTTTTGAAAGGGGGGGGGGGGGTAGTTGCAATGTTTGTAGCTAACTGGTCTTAGAAGATGGGGTGCCAGTCTTTTTTGTGTTCTCATTTTCTTAGACCAGTAAACTACAGATATGCAGAAAGTATCAATGTTATGAGAACCAATGTCTTGTTTAAGTTGTTTTTGTGAAATACCACTGTCAGGGGATGACCATTTGATTCTGAAAGGGGGGGGGGGGTTGCAGATTTTGGAAATAAAAATCTATCCTTGACAGTGGCGAATCCAGGAATCTTGAAAGGGGTCGGGGTAAGGGCCCACGGCCACACCAAAAAAAAAAAAAAAATTGATTTATTAAATCTTATGTGTATTTTGGACACAAAAGGGTGGGCGGTCCTCCTGCCCCCTTTAAATCCGCCAGTGCTTGATCATCTTGAAAATAATAATCTGTCCTTGACTAGCATGAAGAATAAATAATCTGACTAAAAAAAATTGTCAACCACCTCAAAAATGAATGGTCCTCCCCAAACGATTACATGTGTAGTACATGTGCCACTGGTACTATTTCATGCATGGCCGTGCACAGCCATACATTTTCAGTTGGGGGCACTATCAACTACCAAAAATTCCTTGACAAGCAAAAAAACCAAAAAAAAAACCAAAAAAAAAAACAAAAAAAACAAAAAAGGTCATGACATTTTTATTGAGGAGGCACAAGCTAGAAGTAGCTAAATTTTCTATAGTCATCTATATATTGGCAAAATTATTTGGGGGGGGGGGGCATGGCCCCCCCCCGGTTCCTACGGCCATGCATGTAATTATTACACTGGTACTATTCACGTAATCATAACATTGGTACTATTCATATAAACATGACATTGGTACTATATGTAAAATCCTGACATTGTTTGGATATGGAAAATGGAACACAAAAAAATAGACTACATCAGTTTTATTCTTGTCTTGAAAAAGACTGTATACAATAACATTACAATCATTAGCAGATCGCAATAACAAGTTCTACAGCACCCTCACTGTACTAAATACAGAGAAACAATCAACGTTCAGTTTGTTCAATTAGTTTACTTTGAATGTCACAGATATCTATTCACTTCTTTATGTTATCATTGAAATTCTATCCGATCAAAATTAATTTCTTCCTGTGTGCTTAAAAATATCTCCAAATTCCAACTGTGAGTTTGTGCTTTTCTGTTTTGAAGACCCCCCCCCCCCCCCTTCAATTAACTCTGCATTGATCCACCCCAGCTGTTTTCATTGATCCATCTCTTGTTATTATAGAAAAGCTGGTTCCTCCTCCTCTCTAACTCCACTCCCCCACCCCTCTGTATTTCATTGATCCACCTCTCTGTTTTCATTGATCTGCCTCTAGTTGCTGTAGCAGTTATTTCCCCCTCCTCTCTAACTCCCCTCCCCCAACCCCTCTATTTTATTGATCCACCTCTCCGTTTTCATTGATCCGCCTCTAGTTGCTGTAGAAGCTGGTTCCTCCTCCTCTCTAACTCCCCCTCACTGACATCACTGTCTGAGGATCCATTGTCTCCTCCCTAAAATTTAAATGAATCAAGAAGTTTATAGCTACCACACATAAACACTGATATAGCGATTTTACTGATATAAGGATCCTAGGCAAAATTCTTAACAATCCTTTGTAGAATTTCATGGTTATAATGAACTCTGATATAATGAATTTATGGATATAGTGAACTGGTTTAATGTCCTGCACAGGTTAAAAATAATGATATTTGCCTCTTTCATAGCGAATTCTTAAGATTTCCAAATCTTAAATATTGAACAGATATTATTTTTGTAAGTACTTTGTATTCAGATTTGAAATTCAGTTCATCAGAAAATTTTAGCAGCCTAAAGTAAGTTTTGTATTGTATATTCCCCTGAACATATTCAGTTGTGATACTTGAAGGAAAACATTTACTGTACGTATACATATATTAGCGTATTCAAAATTTAGTGCAGTCTCTGGGCATGGAGTTGTTGGCGTAATCATAAATTAGCGCTACACATGTCAGTGCTGTATATTGTATACAAATGATATCTTAGCAGTATTCATAACTTAGCGCATTGTTGTCTGTGCCAAAGCCACTAAAATATGAAGCCCGCTTTTTTAAGTACACATAGAGTATATTGCCAATACCCTATACAGGTGACTCTCGATTTCTCGAAGTTCAGGGGACCATAAGAAAAGTTCGGGAGATAGAAAGTGAATAAAATCCGGAATCTGCAGTTCCGATCATCATTGTTCTACTATTATAGATACCGGAAGTATATGCTAATAATGCTATTGCCCGTTTACATTCGTATTTTACAGGAAATTCACTTGATTTCAACAATGATTGTATTTGGAATAAATAAAATGATTTCTTGTTGTTTAAATAGACTTTGAGAGCTTGAATACTGTTTGATATCTCCATATTTCATTCTTTGTTCTCATTTCATGATTACATGAAACCTGAATAGCAATTGTCGATGTGGCTATTCCCCGGGTTTGATCGAGTCCTTCACCAGATTGCTCGTAATCAGTAGGTCTATTCAATTCTTGAGATAGGATTTCTTGTGCAATGCATTGCAATGTTTGCCATCCTGGTATTGTGTAGACTCTAATAAAAAGTTCATAATATTAGCAAAATTACTGACACATCTCTAAATTATTTTCTCAAAATTATCGTCTCGCTCTCAAGTCAGAATAAGTAGTGAAACGATTTGTTTATAATATACCTATTAACCAGTTAATTATATCAACACTCGGACGACCCATAGGTGTAGTGTAATCTATGTAAACACCTAATTAACACGTTCATGTCAGCCCCAGGCGTTCACTGTTATCCAGGTAAGTCCAAGCTGCGTTAATTTTACGCTTGATTGGTGTATATACATGTGCAATCAAAACTTAGAGAGATAGAGAGTAAAAAACAATGAAATGTGTGTAACGGGACCCAGGTCTTGGTTTGAGATAGAGAACTTCAAGAGATAGGAAGTTCGAGAGATAAGGAGTAAATTTGTTTAGTTATATAGAGAAAAAAAAAACGGACTGGAGGTTCACTTCAAGAGATCGAGAAACTTTGAGAGATCGGTGTGCGAGCCATCAAGAGTCACCTGTATATACTTTAACAAATTTGTCATACAGATATAAAAAATTACGGATATAGCACAGTAAATTCACCAGTCCCCAGGACTTCACTATAGCCAAGTTATAACCAAAAGAGAGAACAGAGAAGTACTGAGTTCACAGACACACAGACCTTTGTTTTCCTGCGTTTTTTAGGTTTACTGGTGCTGGGTGTCTTCTGTCTCTCATCATCTTCACTCGCGCTGGATGCCTGAATAGAAATAGATATCAGAAAGTGTTGGATGCCAGAGAAAATACCTATATTTAGAGTTTATTTATATTCACACTGGTGCCTGAATACTAGCTGCAAATTAAACACATTAAACACAGATTCAATTAAAAAAATCACATGCACCCCATGATACAAAATTTAGGAACATTCTTATACTAATTTTTTTAGGGATGAATTCTGTCCCTTTTCCTTCAGTGAGAGAGTTAAAGCTGAACACGATTCGTAAAAGGAAGAGAGGTATCTTGTCCACCATATTTTTTCTCAAGACTGTCCTTTTTAAATTGCTATATAAGCCTCAGCTTTGTTCACGGTTCAATGTATTTTGCTTCACAGATTCTACTGCATGAGCACATGTCTCTGTCAATGTCATTGTGATATACATGTACTTGGGCGTGACAAAAATGACTTCCATATGCCTCTGCCATGTCAGGAAAAAAGTTATCAAAAGATATTAGATATCAACTGCACAGGTGAATGCATTACAAAGTGAAATAAACACAAATGTACCTTCTGATCAATGAAATAAAATGTAAACAAAAAGGACAACGTGAGATATACATGTACTACATGCCACAGCGACCAGCTAAAAGCCATCATGTGTTACAAATGCAAAGGGTTTATATACTCCACTGCTGATAATGGAGATAGGAAAAATAATATGGCGTATGCCTATTTACGAGTCCTGTTCAGCTTTAAGACAAGTTGAAGGCCTAAATCTTAAAACTTAGCATTATTACATTTTACTTACACTGTGTGACACATGTTTCTTTTTCTTTGATTTCTTTTTGTGTTTTTTCTTGTCTTTTTCCTCCTGATCTGACTCTGGTTGAACACGCTTCTTTTTGTCCCGGTCCTCGTGGTCTGAATCTGGGACATTACTGGGTGACCTTGACCTTGATTCAGAGCGATTTTTCTTCTTTTTCTTAGATTTATGTTTGGATGATGATCGTATAGATGCTGTTTCATTGTCAGATTCACTTTGCTGTCAAAAAGATTTAAGGTTCTACAGTCTGGAATTTCCAGAGGTAAATTAAAGTAAATAAGAAAATAACACTTAGCACAGCATAAGTACTTACAGATCTGGATCTAACACAGTATGGGTACTTACAGATCTGGATCTAACATAGTATGGATACTTACAGATCTGGATCTAACACAGTATGGGTACTTACAGATCTGGATCTAACACAGTATGGGTACTTACAGATCTGGATCTAACACAGTATGGGTACTTACAGATCTGGATCTAACATAGTATGGATACTTACAGATCTGGATCTAACACAGTATGGATACTTACAGATCTGGATCTAACACAGTATGGGTACTTACAGATCTGGATCTAACACAGTATGGGTACTTACAGATCTGGATCTAACACAGTATGGGTACTTACAGATCTGGATCTAACAAAGTATGGGTACTTACAGATCTGGATCTAACACAGCATGGATACTTACAGATCTGGATCTAACACAGCATGGGTACTTACAGATCTGGATCTAACACAGTATGGATACTTACAGATCTGGATCTAACACAGTATGGATACTTACAGATCTGGATCTAACACAGTATGGATACTTACAGATCTGGATCTAACACAGTATGGATACTTACAAATCTGGATCTAACAAAGTATGGGTACTAACCCACCTAGATCAGACACAGTATGGGGTACTTACAGATCTGGATCGAGATCGTTTATGTTTCTGTTTCCTCTTCTTCCTCTTGGCATGGTGGTGACTACAAGCATCCTCTAGCAGTACCTGATACTCCTTAAACAGTCGAATCCTCTCAGACTCCAGTGTGATAGCCTCAAACACTGCCTCTCTTTCTAGCTTGTCCTTAACCTGAAACCAAAAACATTATTACTAGCAGGGCTGTATAAAAATTTATCAACCATTGGCATTTCATGATTTTGAAATATCCCTTAAGGAAAAAGAGCTAAATAAATTGTCAACTTTCCAAAAATTAAAATCCTGTGTTAGTGCACCTTTCTTAGAAATTGAAGAGAAAAGTGTAAGAAGCACACTTGTTCAAAAAAAAGGCAATTATAATATTCATGTCGTTATGTATTTTATATTACGTATTGTCTACCATTATGGATTAAATGTTACGTATTTTATACCATATAACGTCTATTATTATAGACTTAATAAATGATAATTTCCTACCTCCTCCCATTTAGTGTCAGGCTCTATCGCCGGGGTGATCTGTTTCAGCGCTGTCCTGAACTGACTTTCCAGCTTACGCAGCTGAAATCAATGAAACAAAGAATAAAGTGTATATAATATCTATAAATTCAGGAAAGCTTCCATATCTACTATTATCCCAATTAGTCCAAGAAAGAAAAATATATTGTGGAACTTTGAATCAACATTTACATCATGTTTTACAAGGATTATAAGAATATGTCAAATAAATTTTGTGTTCACAATGTTGTCAATTCTCTGGATGCACCATTATACTGATATCAGAAATGCACACAATCAAACCTAATTATCCAGAACTCAATGGGACGGTAATTAAAATTACCTTCCTTTAGACTAAAACAGTAATTAAAATTACCTTTCTTGCTTCTTCCTTCAGTCTTTCTTTCTCTCGAGCTTCAGCTTTCTCTATTAACTAAAAAGACAAACATCATGTAATGTGATATTAACAACTCTGTACAGAAACCATTAAAAAATATACTTTAGAGAAACTTCAGTTTTCTTTTAAGAATCTTGCATGAAAAATCCTGAAAAGAAAGTTTGTAAACTTTTTTTTTACCTATGGTATATATGTAAGCATTATACTTACACTGTTATATGTGAGTTTGATGTTCCCTGTATCAAGACTCGTAGCTCTCCGGTCCGAGGCAATCTGGGCGGCAAAATCCTCAAACAGTGTACTAACCTCGACAAGGAAACCTTTCTCCTACAGAAATAAATCAAAATAGAATTTGTAAATAAGACAAATATTTAAACAAAATCAGCCAGGTTCAGAAACAAATCAACATGTCATAAGTGACTCATAAATTATACTGAAAAGTAACGGTACTACAAAGTCTGCAGGGTCATTTCAACATATGGTAAACATACTTATAGGAAAGATCATGGACGAATAATTTTGATGTGCTATAAATGTGATCCTTTACAAAATATACAGGGAACAAAAATCACTGTGCTAAAAGCATGAATTCATTATAACCACTTTTGCTTTAACTATGGTTTACTGTACTAGAATGTGACTCACGAACATCATCTAACAATGACAATATGAAAATCAAACTACAAAAAAATTAAAATTGGTTAGGTTAAGTTAACACAACTTTTTTGCGGCTACTAGCATTAGAGCTTACCTTCAGGATTTCTTTGACAATTTTCTTCTCATCATGGAATCTAGCTTTAAGATCTTCCACGTAAAACTTGAATAGATCCAAGGGAGTAGATCCTAAAATAATATTAAATAATACATTAATGATAATTCCAAATAAATAGTAAATCATGCCTATGGACTACAATGTTCACCAGTGCTTTCTGTCAATGTAGCTTCATTACATGAGATGCATTTAACCTATATACCAACTCTTTATCTTGACCTAATGACTTTTCCTACATCAATTAATTTGGCTGTGACAGATTTACTCTTAAAACCTGTGAGTGATCTGGTTGTGACTACTGTGTTGGTTCTGACAGATCATTCTCTGGCTGTAATTGACTGGCCTGGTTGTGGTTGGCAGACAAAACTGTGACTGATACATGTATACATGTATTATATTGGGGCTGACCTTATTGTAACCGACTGACCTACTTTTTGACCTAGTGACCTGGTTGTAACTTTTGTCTTGGTTCTGATTGACTGATGGCAATTGCAATTAAATGAAACGATTTATTTCATCTGACAGATAACCAGAACTGGTTATTAGCACTAAAAAGGTTGAGGCTATGGACCTGTTTGAAGTTTTCTTATCTGGTCAACACTATGTATCTAGTTGAACTGGTCAACACTATGGACCTATAGTTATCTAGTTAAACTGGTTAACACAATGGATCTAGTTCAGGTATCTACTTGAACTGGTTAACACAATGGACCTATAGTTAAGGTATCTGGTTGACACCGTCAACACTATGGACCTTATTAAGGTATTCTTACCTGGTTGTCCGAGCATGTTGGTGAAGCGGACGTCCTGACTGATGATTCGGTACAGGTCCATCCATAATGACATGGAGTTCAACTTTCCCTGCTCATGTAGCTCATCCAGAAGGACCTAAATAAATCAAAAGACAAACTTAAATAATAAAAACCACTCTAAATATACAGTTAGAAAGATGGCCAATAAATTTTAGTTCTATCAATCATAATTTTGTACTCAATTATATGTACTTCTATAAAAACATCCTTTAAAGAGCTCATACTGTGGTTTCATCATTATTTATGGAACACCATTTTTCGTGGATTTCGTTGTCGAGTCGATCCACAAAATCAAATGTTCATCGAAGTTTGGTGCCTCCATTTTGATTTACGATAAACCTTTAAAAAGCCTATCAGCTTTCACGACTTTCGTTAATATATGTGAATATCCCCCCCCCTTTCCCCAACAGGTTGGCTTTATAAACGTATTTTATCATTTTAAAGAATATTTTTTTTAAATACTGTTAGATGATTATCTGGCAATTTTTAGCAAAATATATTTAAATATTCTGCACGGAGATAAACAAACAAAGTGTATGTAGAACCGCGGTTCATATACTAATCAGTGGTATAATACAAAGGATGATAAATAATCAGGTTTAAATGTGTAAATTTGTTATTCTCAAACAATCTAACGGTCCAACACCAATTATCACCAACACAATGAAAACAAAAATTAGAGTAAAATAAAAATTTCGGTAGATATAATTAATTACTCTCTGTTCATAACTGGCTTAAAAATACCAAAATTATAAACACAATTTTATGCTAATTTGACTTTGAAACAATTTTTTGTTACACATGAAAAAGTGGGTACATGTATGTATGTTTGGAAGTCCTGCCGTTTTGAAGCCCTTCAAGGCTTGTTTGTCATCCATTTTGCATGTTTAAGCGTTGTGTCGTATCCAGCAAGTGTGGATGTGTTTGTTCAGAGATCTACAAACAAGGGGGTCTGGATGTCTCTGTCAAGTCCACAAACAACACGCTGTGCATGTGAAAAAAATCTCTAACACCATTTTGTAAATTTAAGTACTTAATTATTTTTGTTACTTTTTAATACCCTGGTGCCAACTAAATTATCGTCCGTATGTGCGCCTAAAAGATAAAATCCAAATTGTCTTAATATTTTATGATACTTGCACACCTTTTAACCGAAACGTTGATTAAATTAAAGTCTATTTTAATTAATTGTTTTTAATAATCTGTTTCAATGTCCGATATTTAATTTGGCACTTGAGATCACAGTCTTACAATGGAGACGGTGTATGGAATTCCTCACCTTTTACTGTTATACCATGTACACTGCGTTGTAAACGCTTGAAGGTTCCGACTTTAAAAATACAGTAGAGTAAAATATAAAGAATAAATTAAAGAGTTGTCACCTGTAAGTAATTGTTTTAAAATATTAACATACTCTTAACATTGTAAATGGCGTGAAGATTCCCGCTGAAGCATACAGAGAGTGAAAAAATTAAAAGGTGGTTTTTTTGATATGATCATTATCCACGAATTTACGCATCCTCGAAACAGTGATTTTTACTAAATCCACGAAAATTGATGCCCACGAATATTAATGAAACCACAGTATTATTCATAGGAGAAATAACTTGAGAGTAATACAGAAATACTGTATGTGTACTTAAAAAAGATGGCTTCATATTTTAGTGGCTTTGGCACAGACAATGATGCGCTAATTCATGAATACCGCTAAGAAATCATTTATAAATACTATACATACAGCATGGACATGTATAGCACTAACCATGATTTCGCCAACAACTCCATACCCAGTGATTGCGCTAAATTTTGAATACGCCAATTTATGTACACGTACAGTAAAATAACCAACAAATATTTTTATTCATTAAATAACTGATAATGTCTCTAGAGAAAACAAAATGAACAGAAGAAATTCAGACCAACTGTAGGGTAACTACATGTATGTGCACTGTTCAATTCCAATAATTGAAATTTTCTGTCTGGCATTCCTTATTCTGATGTACCATCAAATAACCTGGAAGTCTTTCTACTACAGACAACTAATGCTAATTCTAACTAATAACACCATTCTACCAATGACAACTACCCAGAAAGCCCTCTTTACAACTGACAACTAACCAGAAAACTGTCTTGATATTAATGTCTATTAAACCAGGAATCTTTTTTTTTAACTTATTACTTACCACAAAGCCCTCTTTATTACAGACAACTAAGCAGGAAGTCCTCTCTAATACAATGGGTCTCATTTTATCAGATAATGGTATAAATGATATAACCTATAATAACTGACCACTAACTACTAATCCCTATCCACTACAGACAACTAACCAGGAAGCCTTCTCTGTTTTTCCTTTGCTGTCTTTTGCCCCTTCGTCGTTCTCGTTCCTTTTCATCATCGTTCTCTTGCTCCAACAAACGGATGTGTTCCTCAAAGCAAATCAGGGCATCTTCCTTGTCCATATCTGTCAAAAAAAAAAAATAGATCCTGTTACATGTACTATTAAGATAATCTGAAATCTCTACTATTTATAATTCTATGATGGGTTATACTCATAAGCAAATTTTACAAGAAAATTCTGGAAAACTTAAATGGGTGTATTATGAATTGCTTAAAAATTACATTTCACAAAAAATGTTGGATCTGTTCCATAAATGAATGCTCAGTAAAAGTATGGTTTCCTTTATCAATTTTCTATCAGAGATTCACTATCTTTTTATTTGATTCCTGTGTATCTTATTGAGTTGTCTTAATATCAGTGACCTCTGACCTTGATGCACCTTCTACATAGACCAAGGTCCAGTGTATCACAGTTGTCCAACACTTGGGATGTCTATGACTTTGAGGTATTTACTATGTAGATCTGGGCCTATCTGAGTCACCTCTGATCATGTCATACAGAAAACCATGAGATACTTACTATGTAGATCTGGGCCTATCTGAGTCACCTCTGATCATGTCATACAGAAAACCATGAGATACTTACTATGTAGATCTGGGCCTATCTGAGTCACCTCTGATCATGTCATACAGAAAGCCATGAGATACTTACTATGTAGATCTGGGTCGTCGGTGAATCGTGGATTGTCTAACAACATTTGTGATGCCTCGGACCATGTCGTACAGAATGTCAGACTGGGCATACTGTCCAGGATCTCAGTGAACACTTTAGTATTCCTCTTCCTTAGAGACTTAGATTCCTCCTGTTAGAAGTCAAATATTTACATCTCATATCCTTAACATTAGTTACTAGAGTTTATAATTCCTCCTGTTAGAAGTCAAATATTTACATCTCATATCCTTAACATTAGTTACTAGAGTTTATAATTCCTCCTGTTAGAAGTCAAATATTTACATCTCATATCCTTAACATTAGTTACTAGAGTTTATAATTCCTCTTGTTAGAAGTCAAATATTTACATCTCATATCCTTAACATTAGTTACTAGAGTTTATAATTCCTCCTGTTAGAAGTCAAATATTTACATCTCATATCTTCTACATTAGTTAACTAGAGTTTATAATTCCTCCTGTTAGAAGTCAAATATTTACATCTCATATCCTTAACATTAGTTACTAGGGTTTATAATTCCTCCTGTTAGAAGTGAAATATTTACATCTCATATCCTTAACATTAGTTACTAGAGTTTATAATTCCTCCTGTTAGAAGTCAAATATTTACATCTCATATCTTCTACATCAGTTACTAGAGTTTATAATTCCTTCTGTTAGAAGTCAAATATTTACATCTCATATTTTGACATTAGTTACAAATTCTGGGATCCTCCCCTTTATCTACACTTTTCCCTGTACCTTTTCTTTCTTTGCCAGCATGTGGACGACATCATCAAAGATCTCTCGTCGGTCCCGGTCATCAACACGGCGCCAGACATCCTGGTCCCCAAACAAATCATCTGCCTTCCTGTGTTAAAAAAAGAAAATATTTCAATAAGAAATCACTCTGTGACTTGTATACCACCGACAACCAACAAAAAAATTGAGTCCTGCTGAACCAAGCTCTATATATAATCAAGGAAGGATGTGTCTACACACACTTACCAATACTTCACACCAGAGTTCATTTTATCAGCGTGAAGTAGGAAGTGTTCTAGGTCCTCCTACAGGGACTTACCAATACTTTACACTAAAGTTCATTTTATCAGTGTAAAGTAGGAAGTGTTCTAGGTCCTCCTACAGGGACTTACCAATACTTTACACTAAAGTTCATTTTATCAGCATGAAGTAGGAAGTGTTCTAGGTCCTCCTACAGGGACTTACCAATACTTTACACTAAAGTTCATTTTATCAGCGTGAAGTAGGAAGTGTTCTAGGTCCTCCTACAGGGACTTACCAATACTTTACACTAAAGTTCATTTTATCAGTGTGAAGTAGGAAGTGTTCTAGGTCCTCCTACAGGGACTTACCAATACTTTACACTAAAGTTCATTTTATCAGTGTGAAGTAGGAAGTGTTTTAAGTCCTCCTACAGAAACTTACTAATACTTTACACTAGAGTTCATTTTATCAGTGTGAAGTAGGAAGTGTTCTAGGTCCTCCTACAGGGACTTACCAATACTTTATACTAGAGTTCATTTTATCAGCGTGAAGTAGGAAGTGTTCTAGGTCCTCCTACAGGGACTTACCAATACTTTACACTAGAGTTCATTTTATCAGTGTAAAGTAGGAAGTGTTCTAGGACCTCCTATTGGGACTTACCAATACTTAACACTAGAGTTCATTTTATCAGCGTGAAGAAGGAAGTGTTCTAGGTCCTCCTTGGCCTGTTTAGCTCGCAGTCTCTGCTCCTCCTACAAAAACAGGCACCAGCTTAGCTATAAACACTCAGTCATTTATGTCTTATCTAAATCTCTCAAAGAACCAGAATTTTGACTATCACTCCCTCTGAAGCATACAGGTAAAAGGTTACATGTATTTCAACATGTTTACAAGAAAATGAATACTAGTTTTAATATCAACAGTGTCCACAATTGCAGTAGTGAAGATTTTAGTAATTGTTCATCTTCTAGAAACCAAATGTTTATACTCAAATACACAAACTAGCATGGTACCCACTGAAAGATACATGCTTACTGTAAGATTGCATGATGGGACCCAATGAATGATAAATTTTAAGACTCAAAGAACAAAACTCTTAAGATCTTGTGATGGGAATTTTATGAGATAACACAAAAGCCTCTGAGTGTCCCTATTATTTACCTTTTCCTCCTTCGCCCTCTTTGTTTTGTACTCGTTAAAAGCTTGTTTTCTTTCATTAAGCTGTCTGAGAGCGCCGTAACGAGGGTCGTTAACGATCAACTTCAGGGCCTGCTCCCAGCTGGCATTAGATGATACACCCTGAATAATATATATGTATATTCAGATACATTTGATATTAATGTTATTAAGGTTAAAACAAAGAATAAAGTTATTATGTGCAGTGGCCTAAAAATTTCCTAGCAGATCTATTTATAAAGTCACAATCAGTCAAGTTACACACCAAACTTTTACATTAGGCCACAGCCAGTGATATCTGTGTTTTCAGTGAAAATTACATGTACATAACATGTAGGTCACAGTAATTACTGTAAACCTATTACATTTGGTTGTGTATTCTATTTTGCACCTTTCGTGGAAAGTAGCTTCCACTAAATAAGTACATCGCTAAAAGTCTTGTGTATGCATATTGATATAAAAGGCTTTCAGAATTCAATAAATCAAATCTACGTTAACTTGTTAAAAACTCAATTTCTGCCAAATATCGTACAGGCTAACTAAATTAAATTTACAGTACTCTGTGTTTTATGTGTCAGATTTTAACATTATCAAATAGTTTGAGTTATCTTTATAATTTTCAGCATGTTTAGTGTCATTAATTGAGTTCTTCTTATCATTATTTTCTAAGTGTCAGACCTTTTCTTTGAGCAGACTCTTAAATGCCTCCATTGCTTCCTTTTTGTTTTTGAAGACAAGGGGGACAACCTCCTTTTTGGGTTTTTCCTCCTCTTCATCACTCAACCTACAAGAGAAAAGTTAAAAGAAAATCAGAAAACAACCCTATTATATAAATAAATAATAATGGAAATGTTTATTAGAAGGCAAGAACTAAAAAGGAAGATCCCTGATCTGCATGGTCCCCCCATGTAAAGGGTGTTAAGAAAGTTCAGTCCACATTTTCCTTTTCATTTTAAAAGCAAATACAATGAAAAAATATTTAAAATTTGTAATATCTTATGTCCAGAGAGGTCACTCTTGCTAAAAAGGAACAAGTTACTGTGCTTTATTTTCACTAGTCAGTAAAAAATCCCAAAAATAACCAATCCTAAATCTTCATCAAAATGTCTAGGAAATTTATCATTTGTGATATTGAAGATGTACATATTTTCATTTGAAAACAAAACTCCTACAGCTTTCTCCTAAAAACTTTTTTGCTATAAATTGAAAGCATAATCTATTGACTTTGTCAAACTGGAAAATTGATCTCTTCCATTAAACCCTATTTTGAAATTTTCAGAAATATTGCACTGTGGAACAAACTTTCTTAACCCCCTTTATTTGATATAACATACTTATTCTCTTTGACCTCCTTCTCCACTTTGACAGATGGAGCGGGGGGAGGAAGTTTAATGGACGCCAAAGTTGCCTGCATGGCAGCCTGGATAGCAGAGGACGGTTTGTCTGGTTGTCGTGGTAACGTGATACTGCCCTGGGTGGCAGGCAATGGTTTGGCGGGCTGCTGTGGCAGTGAGACACCACCACCAGCAGGGGGCACTGCTGCTGATGTAGGGGGCGCTGTGATCACCCCTCCAGCATCTCCACCACCACCAACACTGAAATAACACACAACTGTCATCTCACTGATCTAGAATGGCTCTAAACATCAAAACCAGTGGATTAGCTTTTTCCCTATAATCCCACTAAGTAACTTAACTTTACAGTACAGAGGCACAGATCTAAGAATAATTTGCCAAACTTTATCAAATTTAACAAAAAAAAAATTTCCAGACAAAATCAAACAGCATATCACACTTTAATTGTATTGAACTGTATGTAATTTGTATCACTTAAAGCAATCTTGTGTGATATTGTGATTGTGATGACTGTACAAACAATGCAGTAGAATATCTACCTTGAATCTTGTGTCTTCTTGGCAACCATCTCTACAAAGAATAAAAATTGTGTCACATCATAAGAAGGTTAAACTTGCTCTGAGGACAGATGGTGACTTCTCTATGAAGAAAATTTCTCCCTGAGAACCCATGGGTTATGTCCCCTGATACACATCATTACTTCTCCTGAGGACACATGGGTTACTTTCCCCTGAGAACACATGGGTTACTTCTCCTGAGGACGAATGTAATACCCTGCTGGGGACACATGGGTGACTTCTAAGGAGTCAAGGAATACCCTACCAAGATGACACATGGGTAACTTCCCCTAAGGACCCACTGGTAATTTCTGAGCATTAATGGACTCTCTTTCACTTACCCTCAAGCTCCTCCAACTCTTTTGGTTTTGTCCAGCGGGACTCCTTGGTCTGTGAATTGTGGAAGTAAATTTTACCCGAGTCTGACTTGTACTCCTTCCAGGGACAGTTAGAGAGCATAAGCTGTAATGAAAACATTTGTAATGAGAACATGTGTAATGAGAGCATTTGTAATGAGAACATGTGTACTAGAGCATTAGCTGTCATGTAAAGACTAAAAAACTTTAACATTCACTGCAGTCAAACATTACATGACCTTGAACTAAGAATAAATGACCCTGACACATTTTAACCCTGACCTCTGCCTTTGTCTTCAGGTCATCAGGTTTCTCCCAGCTGGACTGTTTAGTGATGTGATTGTAGTAGTAAGTCCGACCATCCGGAGCCTTGTGTTCTGTCCAGACCTTCTGTAACCATGGCAACACAAATACATTTTAATTTATAAAATGAAAACCTTTCACCAAAGTAAATGCACATGTTAAACTGATCATTTTTTTTTAATACACAGACTAAATTTTACAAATTAGCATATGTGGTAAATTTCATTAATGTATATAGGTTTTACTTAACCGACACACACCTTTTCCTGCTTGTCCCCCAGTGGGGAGTTAGAGGCAGAGCTTGTCTGTGAGACTGACTGGACCTGGGGGTTGCCTATCAATATACACCTCAACATGAAGTCTAGATAAACATGTTTGATAAAGAATCTATCTTCCATGCAACAATTGTATATATTGAAGAAAAGTTTTCAAAATTATTTATCTAACTTTAAAGTTCACTGCTTTGTTTCAAGAACTGATTGAAAGTAAGCAGATATAATACATCTACGGTTACAATAAAACTTGCTCAACAGTAAGTCCTGGGACGTGAATTTCTAGTTCATTGTGACAATTTTTTTATATCCTTACAAGACAGTGTTATGAAATGAGGTATTGGAAAAATCCATAACTTCTTTATAATTGAGATTTTCTTACATCCAAGTTTTTTTTATAACTGAGTTTTATATCTCAGTTTTTATAACTGAATTTTATACCTCAGTTTTTTTTATAATGAATTTTATATCTCAGTTTTTTATAAATGGGTTTTATATCCCAGTTCCTTATATCTAAGTTACTTATAAGCGAGTTTTACTGTATCGTCTTACTAGGTCCTGGTGTGGGAAAAGCTGGAGGCATCCCCATTGGAGGCATACCCCCTGGAGGGGGGTAGTGGGGAGGGGGAATATTTCCTGTCGGGGGTTGGAAACCTACAAACAGCAAAGCAGAGTTCTCCAATCACATGTAACAAATGATCTATTTATACAATTTTTAATCTCACATTTTTACAGAATTCAAACCCGTTATCAAAATTCATCACATTGGTTTTTTACTGGGGGGATGAAAGTGGGAGGGGCTAACAGAAAATACTGTTTATCACATTTATGACTTAAACAGACCTAATGGTTCTCATCATGTGGGGGAGAGGGGGGGGGGGCAACAGGAACACAGTATTAATAACATGCTATGACATAATTACCTGGTGGCCCTCCCATCATAGGTGGGGCTGACATGTCTGGGGCTCCCATAGGTGGGGGCATGAAATTGGCTCCTGGGGGCATCTGAAAAGAGTGATGTTCTCATTACAATAACCTTTATAGAATGCTCTGTAATTTACATGACTAACTTAAGCCTTAAGAACCAGTTTTAATATTTGAATTTGTGCTGTGCTTCACAGCATTGTAGCTGGGGATGGAGGTGGATGGGTGGGTGTGGGACACTATATTTTATTCTATTAGGTTTTTTTGATGTTGTTGATATGGAGCATATTTGATACTTTGGAGCTCTATAAATACATATTAGAATAATCATATGTCTTGAATACTCTATTAAAAGTTATATTTTCCATAATTTTTTGAATTATTTTGATTCAAGTTAAAATTATGGCTGGTATACATCTAAAATGAGCCAGTGACAAAATTTTTGTTGTCTTCATCATCAGTGAGACTGTTATCAAGAAATTTGTTTTTCACCATATTGTGATGTTCCTGCGTTTGGCCAAAAAATGCAAGTAAATTAAAAAGTAGGTAAAAATAACTACCTGGATTAGGTTTAAATTACTAGGTAGATATAAATAGTAACGTAGGTAAAAATAGTCTTTAGATTAGACCTGAACAGGTCCAGCACAAGCTCTTCATTAAGCTATATAGCTTGAATTAGCGATATATCTCTATTAAGCTTTTCAGAATTATTAGTTTGATTTAGCTATTTTATCACACTTTTTTCTTCAATGTGCCTTATTTTTGCAGCATGTACAAAAAGTTGCATCTTGGTGCAGTGATAGTATTTAAAATTTCGAACTCTTCTGAAAAGAATGCATATAAAAATTGCTCATCAAATTTCAACTCCTTGGGAGACTTTGTACTCAAAGTTGACTGTCAAAAAATGCATATAAATATCTTTATCAAGCTATTCGAATAGCTTAATAAAGCTATATAGCTAATATATAGCTAATTCAAGCTATTTAGCTAAATCAAAAGATTGTGCTGGACCTGCTTAGTACTGAATAATGTGTATACCTTTAACAAGACAATTAGACATGATTTCCCGAAAACCATAATGCTTGCTAAATAACCTATCCCATACGATGGCAGCCTATTCAAAAGTTTAATAACTTACGCCATAAGGTGGCGGCCTGATCATTGGGTTGGGAGGACCTGGTGGTCCGTTGTTCTGCTACAAAAGAAAACAAACTACAACTGAGGAAATTCTAACCAAAACAAGACCGGTACACCAATCTCACTTTCACGATGTAGATAATCATCTACCATATTTAATTACGTCGCTAATAAAGTATCTGGTCCAATCAGTACTTCTGTGTGATTATAAAACAATGCATTTGTGGACATGTATCAAATTTTATCATATATTTCTGGAGTGGAATATCACAAGCTCGACTTACCGCCATGTTTTAGATTTCTAATATAAAGAATTGTAACGCAAGGAATAATTTATCCCGGAATGTTCCAATAAGCTTAGCTTTTGAGGAAGGGAAAAGGGAAAAATAAAACTCATGGCACACATAAATTAATTGTAAATTCTTAGTAAGACAACCTGCTTCAAATATTAATCCAGTTGTTATTAGGCGGGGTGGGGTGGGGGGCTTGAGACGTGGGGTGAGGATGGGGGTGGGGGTGGGGTGGGGTGGGGAGGGGGCTTTAAGTTCCGAGGAAGCATGTGTACATGTAAATAGAAATTTAGCATGACTAAAATGAAGTCTTCTAAGAAGTGTCCCCATACAGGAGGTCCAAGGGCCTTAACGGTCACCTGAGTATAATACAGCCGCCTAGGCCCGCCTTATATGTGTAGAAATGCATGAAGAGGATTAAGTAAAAGAGTATAATACAACCCTATCAATTAAGGATCCATAGCATGGTAAATGATTTTAGACATGTAATAATACAGCATAAACTGACACTCATTAATTCTATCTTTATTTTTTCCCACGGGAGTTTGTATTAAAGGAGTGTTGGTAAATTGGATTCCCACAGGAAATATTTTTTAAAGACAACGATAGAATTGATGAACATAAATCACTGTTGCTTATTTAAATGGGGAATATAAATGCAAATAAAGTGTTCAATTAATTTATTTTGGCTTAATAAAATGTTACAAATTCTTGAATTGTTTACAAGTAGAGTAAAATGAAGCAGAATTCAATTTATTTAGTTTTAGATCAAAAGGCAGATCTTACTGCATAAAAATACCCGGAATTAGAACTCCTTAGTGTGCAGTGTAAAGAGGGCCCTTAAGAAGTCAATTAAAAAAAAACCCAACCGAATAGCATCAAAGTAAGCTCGATAATACCAAAGGTGGAATCATCATAGTTGTTACATCGCACCATTTATTGATAAAATCGACTTTGAAAACTAACGATAATATTTTTAAAGGGCAGTTTACTCCAAAACCATGTTAATGGTAAATGAGGTACAAAAACATATATATGCATATAATACTTATAATACAATGGGTTGAAGCAAGAAATGTGAATAAAGTCTAGCAGCTGCTAGAGGGAGAAGAGACCAGACAATTCATTTAGTTGTAAATGTACACAACCTTTTTTTTTTAAAATTTCAACATCTTTTGAGCACATAATTTCACAAAACTTCATAATATTTGGCTTACAACAAAATTTCTGACTCAAGAATTTTTCCCTCAAATATCCTAAAGCTTTACGTTCTAAAATTTATGCATGTACAGTAGTGGTATTCATCATGTTCATCGCCTATCTTTTACTATCGCACGAATTGCAAAGTCGTTCATTTATCTGTGTACAATTCAATCTGCCTGTTTCGATTGGGAGGTGGTGATTTCTTGTTCTAAGTTTTACAAGAATTTTCCTAATTTACATGATAACATAGATGTAAGTACGTTTCACACTCAAGAAAGTGTGCTACACCGAGATATTTCCGCTTGACTGTGTTTTAGTTACATTGGAATTTACAATTTGCTTTCTCTTTAACGTCTTTTATATCAAGATTGAATATGCATGAAAGATAGATATTTGAAGGAAAATATACAAGCCCCTATTAAAAAAAAATAAAATAGTGTTTGAAAATGCGAGAATTTAAAACTATAAAAGGTGGATTCGAACCACTACTCTATAAAAAGAAGGACTCGCGGTGTTAGTAGTAAGCGGCGATCCTGAGTGAATTTGAGCTATTCTGACTAAAAAAAATAGATGGTATGAATGTGAATCAGATTTTCTAATATAGGTTTTCCTTTTCTGTAGATTTTGTGAATTTCGGCCCCTGGGGCAGAAGTGCCCCTAAAAATCCTATTTTTAATTATTCCTTAGATCACAATCTATCAAAATATCATAATTTTATTTAGGAACAGGCCTGCCCTAAGGGACTTCTAGGCCAAAATTCATAAAAAATCAGTACTTTAACGGAGAAAATGTTGTTTTAGCCAACTTTGATGGTTAATTCTAAAAGTTGCAAATAATAAATTTCAGGTTCAAAATGCAAATTTAATTGAAAAATTAAGAAATTTTTACGATAGAAAATAACTAATAAAAATTGTTTTTAAATGTGACTTTTTCCAGGATATTGTTATCATCTGTAGGTCAGATTTTTTTTTTGGAAATTTGGAATACATTCTTTACAAATGTCGTTGATGTGGCATGAATTTTTTCCCAGATAGATATCGGAGTTCTTCCTACCGTTATTGTGTTGAAAGGAAGGATCTGAGTAGTGACACTACATCCTTTGTCTTCTAGATTCTAGATGGAAGTTTGTGACGGCTTCTTTTACACACCCTTTCCGCGGGTACTTTGGAGAATAACCGTCTTGTGGATATAGAAACAAGCGCTGATGGAGGTTATGCTTGAACAGTAGAACCATAGTATCTTGGACAAAACCATATATACATGTATGTAATGTCTAAGTTCTGGAGACCGCATGTAAGAAAAAGCCGGTGAAGAGATTAATTCTGTTTGGTAAGGGCTTTGGTATCTAGCTCCCATAAACGGCCAAAAAATGGTGTTTTCTTTTGTCATTTTCGGATATAATCGGAAGAAGCCCAAGTAATGATTCACGAATGTCGGAGCTAGTGTCTTTTGGCAGATTGGGCTAAGGTTGTTCTTGTATTCTCTCAGGACAAAGTAAGCTTCTCGATCTTTGCTGCACGGAGTGACCTCTATTGTTCGTTGAAAAATACTTAACGTAGATATATAATTAAGGTATTTTTGTCTTATTTTCATTTATCTTTTATTAACAAGTTGATATCTTATTATTAGAAACTCCAAAATACTTTTTGTACTGTATATTAAAAACAATCTTGCATTAATCTTTAATAGGGTCACCTGCGTCACGCACGTGCGTCGTGAGTTAACATTTGAACATTTTCAGCTTCTTCTCTGGAACCGCCGAGTCAATTTCAACCATGACCATAGGAACCGGCCGGGGGATGGGGAGGGCAATATATAGAATACTATAGAAAACATAGCTGCTATATGCTTGTGTCCCTCAATAATAACGTCTGATGACCTTTTTTTCTTTTTTTAATCAAGGAACTTTGGTAGTTGATGCCCCCCCCCCCCTACTGAAAATGTACTCCGCGACTCTAGATACAGCAGACGCTCTAACCACTGCGCCACGCGAGAGAGAGAGAGAGAGATTATTTGTTTGTTGTTTAACGACTCTCTCGAGAATATTTCACTCATATGGAGACGCCACCACTTCCTGTGGAGGGCTGCGAATATATACCTATACTCGGCACTTAGGGCCATTGAGCAGTGCGGGATCTTTTTCGTACCAACACCTACTGCGACAAGGGACCTCGGTTTATACGATCTCATCCGAAAGTCCCGTCTACACGTCACGAAGTGGTTTCGAACCCGCGACGTAAGGATCAGCTCCTTACTCCGCGACTCTAGATAGAGCAGACGATCTAACCACTGCGCCACGCGGGCGAGAGAGAGAGAGAGAGAGAATCATATTTTTAATTACGATGAAATGCTTCTTTTCTTTAATATGGGGATTAAAAGTTGAAAAATTGCAGAAAAAAATACATAACCCAACCCATTTTCTGCAATGAATGCAACCGTTAATCCCCGTATTTAAAATCAAATCAAATCAAATCACAACTGAGAGACAGTTTCCAGAATGTTCGTCTTCAAAACAAAAGCTCTTAATATTTGTGTTATTTTTTTTTGTCTTTGACATTTTCACCATAACTATTGTTTAGTTAATAAAAATATACACAATTCTATGCATTGATTAAACAAATTCTATCTACAGATCATGATCAGGAGCCGATCAGTAATTACGTAAAAAGGAAGCGTTAAATTTAAATATAATTTTTGATAAAGAAAGCCTATTAATTATGAGTACAGCAGTCCACGGAGAGCATCAAATGACAGAGAAAAATAACCAGCTATAACAAGCATTCTGAGAATATTGCATTAGCAATACTAGTCCCCTACCGGCAAGTGCATGTAATCTGGTTCCCGTTAAGAATTGAAAATGCCATAATTCTGTCAAAAATTAATGAAACGGGACGAAATGCGAACTTGATCTATAACTAATCAAGGTAAAGCCAAATACCAAAAATCAGCTCAATATCTACAAGCGTTTAGAAGAAAATTGCGGAAAACCCGTAAAAATTGAAAAGGCCGTAATTCCGTCAAAAATCAATAAAGCGGAACGAAATTCAAACTTGATCTGTAACTCATCAAAATGCACTCACATACCAAAAATCAGCTCAATATCTGCAAGCATTTAGGAAAAAAGTGCGGAAAACCAAGTGGGACAGACTGACAGACAGACAGAGGGACAGACAGACAGACGGACAGACAGACAGACAGACGGACGGACAGACTCAGAGGAAACCTATAGTCCCCTCCGGTTTCACCGGTAGGGGACTAAAAATGATATGTAAAAAAAAACCTTTTATAATATTACTTAAAAATTTCCTTGTTTCTGGTTGATAAATCAGCTGTACAATAAGCTGAAGGTAAATTTTTCATAAAGAAAGCCTATTAGTTATGAGTACAGCAGTCCACGGAGAGCATCAAATGACAGAGAAAAAATAAGGCAATACAATAATATGTAAAAGGAAAAAAAATGTATTATTTAGAGACTATTTAGAGACTGTTTATGGATTTCTGGTTGATAAATCAGCTGCACATTTAGCTGAATGTATGTTTGTTATGACTACAATAAAAGCCAAGGCTTACTGTCCGTTGTTGAGGAAATTACACATCTGAGAG